TATATATATATATATACACTTTTTGTTCGTGAACACGAATACACTTTTTGAGCTCAAAAATATAAACAAGCCGAACACGAGCTAAGCCAGGCTCACTCGTGTTCGGCTTATTTATACCCCCAACAATGACATAATTCGTTGTTTGACCCTGCAGCTTCGTGACTACCTTCATGATCAAACCCTATGGGATCAGAGTTCGCTGGAAGACAACGACGAAGACGAAGAAGATGTGAGCCGCTGGGTAGGCTCTCATACCATGAATGAAGAAATAATTAATATTTCTTATTTACAATTAGGCCCTTCAAAATAAAATGCAATCTCAACATGATGCTATCACGAACAACCTTCATAGATCATCCATGTCACATCAAGAGCAGTCAAAAGCTACTCATCAACTCTCTTTAGAATTACTGCTCAGTGACTCTCTCCATTGATATTATGTTGATGATAGTTTATATCAATATCTTCATTCAAGCCTCTCATTTATATCTTCTCTGATATAGATCTCATTGCTGACATTTTGCAGCCAATTCACAGTACTCTCCTTAACGAATCATCCACGCTCCTCTTGTGTCAATCACAATATCCAAAATTTTCAAAAAAAAAATTCAAAATTTTTTTAATAATTTTAATACTTGAACAAGTTTAGGATTATATGCCAAAATTTCAAAAAAAAATTGTAGAATGTATGATATATTTAGCCGTCTTTGTTAAAAAAAAAAGGGTTGGATCAGTCCTCTTAGACAACCATGATGCAATTGTTTGCATTCATATTCTTAGTGAATAAAAAGAAATCTGCTTCACTAATGTTCATGCAGAAAAAGAAATGCTCTTCCACAAAGTGAGATGAGGGCGAAGTAAAAAAGATAAAATTTTTGCGCTACTAAATATATTTCAGGAACAAAATAAAGTACCTGGAGAATCAAGCCTCTCCTTTTTTCTCCTAATTTCTTCTCCAAGATGGCACTTGTCAAGAGCCTAGAAACATAAAACCACACAACCTCTCCTCATATCAAACAAAAAATGTTAATTTACGTAATATATTCTTAATTATAAGTTTTGTTTTCATACAAACCTCCCATATCTGTTCATCTGTATACTCTTCAAGAGGATCCAGATTGCTCCGCACGGATCCCTCAAACATGGTAGGATCCTGTGGAATTATGCTCAACCTGGTTCTTAGATTGAGAAGACAAATGATTGATATATTGATTCCATCTATATCAATTCTGCCTACAACAGGCTCAATGATGCGAAAGATTGCTTGAACAAGAGTAGATTTGCCACTGCCCGTTCGCCCCACAATTCCAGTTTTCGTTCCTCCGTAAAACGTACATGTTAGATTTCTCAACACTGGTGGAAGATGCGGCGCATAACGAATCTACAAGTCATTTAAGCAACTCTCATCAAGGCAGGTTGATATTAACTAAACCTATGTTGTGACTGAGTGTCTAGAACTAATATTTTATTTGGGGTGGCTGAAACTTTCTGTAAACTTTGTTCTAAGACTGTTACGTGAAAGTAGATTTTTTAAAACCAATTGTGGGCATCATAGAAGTTTTCCCTTTTACAAAAATCAAATAAATTTTTTTAATACTCTAGAAATCTTTTATAAGATGTTTTTTTTTCCTCTCTTCAACAGAAATCTATGAAAAACATTAAGAAAGTTGCAGCCAAAAAGAACTTATGAAAATTACAGGCAAAGCAAAATTACGAGAAAGCAGCTGCAAATGATGTGTAAATTTTGCAAAAATATCAACCTGTAGATCAGTGATGTTCACTTCTCCATGCTTTGGCCAACTTAGAGATGGCTGGTTTGATTGAACTATAGAAGCTACCTCGCTCGGAATACAAGTGTACTGAAGTATTCTCTCCACTGATATAATTTCGTTTTCGAGATTGCACTTCGTCCAAACTGCCCACGCAAGGAGAGAGCTTAGACTGAGCCCATATGTCACTGCTAAACCGGCCATCCCTAATGAAATAAATGAAGAGTCACAAGTCAAAAATGTGGTACATGAAGTATAGATTTAATCAAGTTTAACTGTGAATTTTTACCAGGATTAACAGCTCCTGGTGGCAAAGAGATTAAAAATGTAAGGCAGAAGGCAAATATTAGGGAAGAGAGCAGATCCAAACGGAAGCAAAGCCACTCCATAGCAGCAGCATTGTGAAATTTTGGTTTCAAGTATGATTCAATCAGCTGAAGATTTCTGTGCAAAAACAACTTTTCTTTGTTGAAACACCTAATTGTTGCCAGTCCTGAAACGGTTTCTGCAAATTGTTGAATAATTGGAGCATTTATAACCCCTACCAGCCGAGTCAATTCCCTCGCCGTAGTTATGTAATATTTCTGCCACATAGCAGGCCACTTTTTGCTATTATATAAGGCAAGATAAAGCTTCAAGATTTTGTTAACAACTTTGCAGAAAAATCAATTGAATTATAAATTCAACCTGAGCTACATATCAACTTTTTCAGTGTAATGCAAAAAGGCAGAAACTTTATCAGTACCTGGTACCAGACACACAGGGCAGTCAGAGGAACAAAAATGAAGAAAACTTCCCAAGCAACCTGAGACATCACAGCAATAGTTCCAAGTAGTTGTATAACCGCAGAACCCACCAATCCCATTTGAAAAGGTATTGATTGATCCACTGAACTCTGATCTTTTGAGGCCTAGTTAAGCCACAACGAGCAATATTAATCGACGAGTTAAAACTTTCCAGTTACAATGAAGAAACCATTAAGTTTGAAACAAGGATTATCAAATACCCTGTTAAGAATGCGCCCGCTAGGAGTGGAATCGAAGAATGACATTGGGGCTCGGATAATGCATTGATGCATTTCATAAAAAAGCAATTTTGCAGTCTTGTATCCCACAATTGCAACAAGCATTGCTCTAATGAAGACAAAGAGACAGCTCCCAAGAGCTAAAGCAGCATAAACAAGAATGAGAAGGGAACCAGAAAAAAGAGTTCCCGAGTCTTCTGAGTTGGGAGCAGCCATTGTCATCCAGTAATTGCTTCCAATTTGAAGGATTAGGAAGAAAGTTTGTGATATAAGTATGCATGGTACAAGGGCTCCTTTATATAAAGCCGTCAAATACATCCAATAAACTTTCACTCCAACATTCCCTCTTTGCCTTTCTTCTTCTTCAACTAGCTGCCCAACCTTATCATCATTAATTTCACTCACCCCTTCAACCTTCTTAAAATCAATCCATTTGCTTTTTGATGTAAAATATGAACCATCTTCTGAATTCTTCTGCAGAAATTGTGCATCATCTATTTTTGACAAGGTGTTTTTATGGGCGCTCACCAGTTCGGCGAAATCTGATCCCGACTTAAGAATATCATCATATTTTCCAGTTTGTATAAATTCTCCCATCTTCATAACCTGAAAAAGGATATCACAAGTTATGCCAATTACTATATTATCTCATTTCATTAATGCGCTTCAAGGTAATAAGGATCAAGGAATAACCAAGATCAGGTCAGCCGATGGAAGAAACTCCATTTGATGTGTCACATAGATAACAGTTTTAGAGGCTAAAAGCCCTAGCATACACTCCTGTCACATATAAAAATGCAATTTTTGCTGAATAAAACAAGAAATATTTTGAAATGAAGTAGTTTACAACTATCAAAAGAGAACCTTGAAGAGATGGTTTCCTGTTTGGGCATCAACAGCACTAAATGGATCATCCAATAGATAGATATCACAATCCTGATACAAAGCTCGTGCGATCTGTATCCTTTGCTTCTGGCCACCACTCAAGTTGATACCTCTCTCTCCAATGATTGTCTTGTCCATAAAAGGTAACATTTTCAAATCTTTCGTCAATGCACATGCTTCTATCACACACTGATACTTGTCCCTATTTATTTCTTTCCCAAAAAGTATATTGCTCTCAATAGTGCCACTCTGTATCCATGGTGATTGAGCAACATAAGCTGTACTTCCAGACACCTTCATGGTACCAGACAACATCTGAATTTCCCCAAGGATGCAAGATAGTAAACTAGATTTTCCAGAACCAACAGCACCACAAACTGCAACCTTCATGCCATGTAAAACTCTCAAATTGATATCTTTTAATGTGAGTCTATCAGATGAAGGATCCCAGGAGAAATTGCTACTAATTATCTCTGCTGCAACTTCAGAATTTATCTCGATCGAGTTAAACTGGCATTCTTCCAAAGAAAGAAATGTAGATATTCTATCAATTGAAACTAAAGTCTGTGCAAGCATTGATATAATGTCAGGGAGATTATATATAGGATCCTTAAGTATCCCAAATGTTGCAAGAGCTGATAAGACCTTCCCTGATTCAAGTGGTGTTCCCATAATCACACAAGCCGAGAAAGTAGCCAATGAGACGAATATAGGAGCACCATAGTACACAAATGTTATTATTACCTCAGTATATAGGAATTTTCTCAGCCAACTCATTTCATTCTCTCTTAAATTTATAATCTTTGACAAAAATCTCATTTCCCACCCATAAAACTTAAGAATTCTCATGTTTCTTAAGATCTCAGATGTCGTCTTCATCCTCATGTCTTTCGACTCCATAATTTTCTCTTGGAAACTCTGCTCTAACTTACTAAAAGGAATGTTCGTGGTCATGACCAATGTAGTGGCTGCTAAAGCTACAAGGGACGCAAAACCCAATTTGTTGTATAGAATAACAAGAGCCAATCCAACTTGAACCGGAATAAGACAGAAATCAATCATATACCACGAAAAACGTCCAATCCTCTCAGCATCTACACTCATCAAATTAACAATCTCTCCACAACCATAATATTGTGTGGATCTGTTGGACAAAGATAGACCCTTCTCATAGATCTTTGCTACCAATGCAGCATGGGCCTTCATCCCAAACTTCTGCGCTCGAAAAAACCAGTGCCTTTGAGCAAGACACTCAACAAGCTTCGCAAAGAGAAAGATTGAAACTAGAATGTATCCCTTAACGGAGTGATTTTGATGAGCATGAAGGTACTGAACGAAGGACTCAATCAAATAAGGACCAACAAAAGAGCATATAGTGAATATCACTGAGAAGACAACTGAGAGTAATAATTCTCTCCATGCAGAAGCAATTAGTGACTTTGCTAGCGCAAGAGCATTGAGACTCCCGTGGAGCTGAAGCTTCTCTCTAAATATTGAGAAAACGCCATTTACTCTGTCACCACTAGCCAGTTCAGGAATGTCCTCAAGGTCTAATCTTTTCTGCCTCCCCATGTAGAGAAGAGGACTCATCCATGAAAAAGTGAGCTTACTTAGAAAATTAGCGTTGGAATAGAAAGACAAACTATGACTGTTAGTTAGAAGTGGTTCTTCCAGGTGATGACACTCCTTCACTTCCATGGCCACTTGCAGCCTGAAAATTACAAGCAGAATAACACACGGAAGTTCAAGAATCAGAGCAAGCTAATGAAATGCGAGAGAGTTTCAAGCATATAATAGGAAAAAAGGGAACTTTATAATCCCAGAAGATTACTATATTTCATTGAGGCAAAATGGACTTAAGAATATCATCATATTTTCCAGTTTGTATAAATTCTCCCATCTTCATAACCTGAAAAAGGATATCACAAGTTATGCCAATTACTATATTATCTCATTTCATTAATGCGCTTCAAGGTAATAAGGATCAAGGAATAACCAAGATCAGGTCAGCCGATGGAAGAAACTCCATTTGATGTGTCACATAGATAACAGTTTTAGAGGCTAAAAGCCCTAGCATACACTCCTGTCACATATAAAAATGCAATTGTTGCTGAATAAAACAAGAAATATTTAGAAATGAAGCAGTTTATAACTATCAAAAGAGAACCTTGAAGAGATGGTTTCCTGTTTGGGCATCAACAGCACTAAATGGATCATCCAATAGATAGATATCACAATCCTGATACAAAGCTCGTGCGATCTGTATCCTTTGCTTCTGGCCACCACTCAAGTTGATACCTCTCTCTCCAATGATTGTCTTGTCCATAAATGGTAACATTTTCAAATCTTTCGTCAATGCACATGCTTCTATCACACACTGATACTTATCCCTATTCATTTCTTTCCCAAAAAGTATATTGCTCTCAATAGTGCCACTCTGTATCCATGGTGATTGAGCAACATAAGCTGTACTTCCAGACACCTTCATGGTACCAGACAACATCTGAATTTCCCCAAGGATGCAAGATAGTAAACTAGATTTTCCAGAACCAACAGCACCACAAACTGCAACCTTCATGCCATGTAAAACTCTCAAATTGATATCTTTTAATGTGAGTCTATCAGATGAAGGATCCCAGGAGAAATTGCTACTAATTATCTCTGCTGCAACTTCAGAATTTATCTCGATCGAGTTAAACTGGCATTCTTCCAAAGAAAGAAATGTAGATTTCTGCTGCAACTTCAGAATTTATCTCATGGATCTTCTCGATCGCATTAAACTGGCATTCTTCCAAAGAAAGAAATGTAGATATTCTATCAATTGAAACTAAAGTCTGTGCAAGCATTGATATAATGTCAGGGAGATTATATATAGGATCCTTAAGTATCCCAAATGTTGCAAGTGCTGATAAGACCTTCCCTGATTCAAGTGGTGTTCCCATAATCACACAAGCCGAGAAAGTAGCCAAGGAGACGAATATAGGAGCACCATAGTACACAAATGTTATTATTACCTCAGTATATAGGAATTTTCTCAGCCAACTCATTTCATTCTCTCTTAAATTTATAATCTTTGACAAAAATCTCATTTCCCACCCATAAAACTTAAGAATTCTCATGTTTCTTAAGATCTCAGATGTCGTCTTCATCCTCATGTCTTTCGACTCCATAATTTTCTCTTGGAAACTCTGCTCTAACTTACTAAAAGGAATGTTCGTGGTCATGACCAATGTAGTGGCTGCTAAAGCTACAAGGGACGCAAAACCCAATTTGTTGTATAGAATAACAAGAGCCAATCCAACTTGAACGGGAATAAGACAGAAATCAATCATATACCACGAAAAACGTCCAATCCTCTCAGCATCTACACTCATCAAATTAACAATCTCTCCACAACCATAATATTGTGTGGATCTGTTGGACAAAGATAGACCCTTCTCATAGATCTTTGCTACCAATGCAGCATGGGCCTTCATCCCAAACTTCTGCGCTCGAAAAAACCAGTGCCTTTGAGCAAGACACTCAACAAGCTTCGCAAAGAGAAAGATTGAAACTAGAATGTATCCCTTAACGGAGTGATTTTGATGAGCATGAAGGTACTGAACGAAGGACTCAATCAAATAAGGACCAACAAAAGAGCATATAGTGAATATCACTGAGAAGACAACTGAGAGTAATAATTCTCTCCATGCAGAAGCAATTAGTGACTTTGCTAGCGCAAGAGCATTGAGACTCCCGTGGAGCTGAAGCTTCTCTCTAAATATTGAGAAAACGCCATTTACTCTGTCACCACTAGCCAGTTCAGGAATGTCCTCAAGGTCTAATCTTTTCTGCCTCCCCATGTAGAGAAGAGGACTCATCCATGAAAAAGTGAGCTTACTTAGAAAATTAGCGTTGGAATAGAAAGACAAACTATGACTGTTAGTTAGAAGTGGTTCTTCCAGGTGATGACACTCCTTCACTTCCATGGCCACTTGCAGCCTGAAAATTACAAGCAGAATAACACACGGAAGTTCAAGAATCAGAGCAAGCTAATGAAATGCGAGAGAGTTTCAAGCATATAATAGGAAAAAAGGGAACTTTATAATCCCAGAAGATTAATACATTTCATTGAGGCAAAATGCTTATATTTTAGTCTGTAGAGCCGCTAAAAAGATTCCCTTGAATGCTGCATTAATAGAAAGGTTTGATTTTTAATGGCGATGACACAGGGCGTTGGGAAACGCAAAAAACGTGCTTTGAGTTGCGTGACGAGATGACTGGCCGGCCTGATCCACCCAAATAACAAAAAAATGACTTTTTGTTCAGTTGCTGCAAATTCTTGGCTTTTAACGAAGTTCTTTTCCTGGGATGAGTTAGTTCGAGCGCTAACTAATCAAACTTAAGCTAGCTTTCATTCGATCCATTAGTGTGTGCCGGTTCCTTTTCAAAAATATTAATATAAAATGGATTAAAAAATATTAAATTTAAAAAAAATTATCTTTAATATAATAAAAATATTTTAAAAATAATATTTTATATCATATATTATGTAATTGTTTATTATTTATTTTCTAATTGTTCATTCTATTTATCATTTTATTATAATATTTTTATCTCTTTTTTTATAATAAATAAGTTCACTCTTGAGCTCGCTTAAACTTATAGAGAGTGGCTCGTGATCAACTCAACTCATTTACACCCCTACCTACAATGTTGAATATTTTAATTATGGATAGATATTTTGGCGAAGTCTTTTTATTTTGATATTCCAATAATTGCCATAAATTAGATGCTCTTGTGTTACTTCATAATTGAGATACAATAGATGCACTTATGTTTTATATCATTATAATGCCAATGTACATCTGTTCCCTTGAGTGAATCAAAGTATATTATATTCAATTTGTTATCTTATAATTAATTTTCAAGTATGGAAGAAACTATCCTTAAGCCATCACCCCAGCTTGAAAAAAAAATTCTTAACTTCAATTAGATTATATTTTGCTTGTGTGTCTGCGCTCACACGTGCGCGTGCACACACACACACAAAATAATTTTACATAAATAATTAACATAAGAAATAAATATGATTTTTTAAGATTTTGAGTTCATCAAAATAAAATTTTACTTTTATAAAATGGAGCATTGTATATTAAAATTTTCACTCAATGCAAGAAATTGAGAATATATTCACATAGGTATATTTGCCATGCTTTATGGTGGAGCCCATTAGATTTTATTCTCATTATACACTTTCATGAATTATACTAAATGCATACAAAACAAATATAAAATAAATCTATCATGAAAAATAGATTCACTATTGTTGCAATGACTTGCAAGTTTCTGAAACATCTCCAATTTGACAAAATTTGCTCCTTTATAGATTTACTCTAATACCAAATATGATGGTGATATTCTTTTTATGAGAATTAGTGCAGGAAAATATTTTAAACCTTCGATTTATTGAAAAGAAATGTTCTTGAATTTATGACAAAATGATAAGAAAAATGAAGTGGTATAGATATTTGAAAATTAAGATTAGTCTAAATTAGGCTAGTTTGGGCTAAAATAAAAGAATACTTTTGGGGTAAAACTTAGGTGAGATAAATGGCTAAAAATAAATACAAAATATTATTTTAGGATGTGCATGTATTATTTAAATCAAACTGTTAGCTTTTGTAGACTTAGATGGGTGACAAGGAGTAGGGAACAAAACTGAACCCTAGTTTTATCTAGTTTGATCAAGAGGCATAAATAAAGTTAGTTGTGGCTAAAATTAAATTTAGTTGTGGCTAAAATTATTAGTTTAGGATGTGGAGAGTGACTAAGATGATTTAGAGCAATCATTTATATTAATTCTTAATTGATTAGCTTCCTTAATCCTCTCCTTTAAGTAAGCCTAAACAATCACTATGAAAGTACTCAGTATCCTCCTTAATTGAATAAATAATTTCTGGTTCTAATCTCTCCATTTCTTAGATTAGTCCACCATCAAATGTCATCATACAAGATGCCACACCAATGAACCTCTCAATTAAAACATCAAAAATCATATTAGCTTTACCAGGTTGATATATAATATTGATATCTATGATCAAATTCACTTCCATTGTATTAAGTTCAATTATTTCTAAGCGAAGATGTACTTTAAGTTTTGAGGATCAGTATTATCTCACACCTCAATCCATACAAATAATCTCTAAATTTTTAATGTAAATACAAAGATGTCAACCCTAAATCATTAGTAATATAATTTTTTTTGTGCAACTCAACTACTTGGATGTCTCCTATTTTGATACAATATACAACACGATCATTTTATAAAAGAACTAATGAATACCTTGAAAACCTCAAAAGTCGATGAAATAATCAGAATATAACTTAATACTAAGTAATTATTCAACCTCTATATCTAATCTCACATCACAATGCCCAATCAAAAGAAATTAAAATCAATAGGGAAATATTCTGGGAGGATACTGGCTGCCACTCCAGAGCTCCCACTACTCCCTTACCTGAGGGCTAACAATCTCGCATCAGTTTCTAATCAACTGGACCAAATTGAGGATTTTGATTTGTCACCTTAAAATCTCAAATTCTGCATCCAACAAAGTATATTTCCCTATTTATTTGCACTCAATTCCTGGATAACTTACTCTCCCATGAAATCAAATGTGATTCTCCCCATGTTGTAGAAATCATAGCTCTTTCGGAACATATGTTCTCAACACATTTTAACATTTCAATTGATCAGATCGAAAAGTAAATGAAGATCTGAATTCAAATCATCACAAGTTATTGACATTTAAAACCATATAAAATAACATCAATTCTTCACAAAACTATATCTCAAAGTAAGGCGAAAAATAAAAAAGACTACTCAGAATTCGTGAAAAGGATACGATAAAACACGAATTTCATATATAAAAACAAGTTTACAAAATAAAGAAAGAAAAATACAGAACTTATCTCACACTCCTTCTTAAGCAAATCTTTATAAGTTCCCTTTAAGCACTTTCTCTCTTTACAATCACACTAAATTCTCTGCTAGAAATGTAATGAAGAAGAAATCTCTCACCTCCTTCTCTCCCCTCTTACAATCCTTGAAGAAAATCTCTAAGCCCTTGACTTTTTTCTCTCAATCTCTCCCTTTCCTTCTTCTCACTCTCACGCCACACACACACACACACACACACCACCACCAACTCAAGCCCCCAAAACTCCTCTTGAATTCCTAGACTTCCCTTTTCCTTATAAAAGGCTGCCTCCCTCCAAAAAGAATTCAAAATTCCCTCCAAAATTTTATTTAAAAGTCAACTCTTTTGAATTAAAAAAATATGCTCATTGATCCAAGAGACATATCCCTTCATAAAAGAACCTTCCAAAGTGTCTAGATGCATTGAATCACTCCAAGGGGTGTTCAGAACAAGTGTCCCTTTGAAAATTCGAGCAAAAACTCGTTCTGAATTGCCTTAATCCGCAAAAAGTCATCTCCGACTCATCTGATGCCAAATCTGGGGCATCATGCGCCAGTTCTCTAATTTTGGCGCATCATGCGCCGGTTTGGCGCATCATGCGCTAACCTGCAGCAACTCCACTGTTTTGCTCTGTTCAGCTCCGTTTCAGCTCTATTTCGCCCCGTTAACCTGCAGCAACTCCACTGTTTTGCACTGTTCAGCTCCGTTTCAGCTCTATTTCGCCCCGTTTTAGTTGTGTTTCGCTCCTAACAGATATACCTACAAAATATGCATGAAAACAAGCTTTCTTGAAAGTGTAATTTCATTCAAAAACATGTGAGAAATATAAAGTAGATTAAGCGTAGAAAGACATATCGAAATGTGTCAGGTCATAATTTTCTTTTTTGCTCGTTTTTACTCCAAATTGCACCATTTTTGCTTCATTTTCTCCAAAATTCAATTTCTTATACCTGAAACCAAAAATATGCAAAATACTTTCCTTTAAAGTGTAATATCATTAAAAATCATTAAAATTGAGCATAAAATATATATAAAAAAGTAGATAATTTTTAGGCGTATTAGTTATTTGAGAGAAATAATATATAATGATCACACAAATGGATAAAGAAGAGGAAAACATTAACAAACTAAATACTTTGCTCTGATGATCATCAATTAAGTGGGCACCAAATTATCAAATTGTGTCATAGAATCTAACAGTATAGCCCCCATTATGCTTTGTTCTATCTCAATCTTGCTAGAACTCTAGTCATTTACTACATCTTAATCTTTAGGATTCATGATTTCATAATCTTGGCACCATACATATGCATGCAATAACATTATATATTGTACATAGAATAAAGGTAAAAAAAAAAAGAAATGGGAACATATCCAAATTTTTACCACTTATCTACAAATCATTCATTTGGCTCTGATAATAAATCAATTCCTCCAAATATATATAATTTTTATACCATGTAAGTAACTATCACAACCTGGCCTAATGTAAATCAAATCATCATATCGAGGTAGATTGCATCATGTCGAGGTCACAATAGTTCATTAATTACCCAAAATCTGTTTGAAATAATTTTTTTTATTATTTTCAATATTCACGAACACAATCATTTTTATATCATCAAAAAAATATGAAATAAAACTACTAATATATTTCATTCACATCATTAAACTATGCAACAAAATGACTATGCAAAATTATCATGGTATAATTATTTCCTCAATAAAATATGCACATTACCATGACTAAAAAAAGATTTAAAGGAGCAGCATACATATGATCATAATCTTAAAATTAATTAATAGTCTCTAATCAACTTGATTTTTATCATTTTATAAACTAATACATGTGAATAAAACATGAGTGAGCAACCATAAATCAACATGCTACTCAACATCTATTTTAGTTTTTAATACATAAGAGACAAAAGAATAGATAATTATCAAAATAATATTATATAAAAAATAAAATTTACTTCAAGTGAACTAAGAGAATATGAAAATATCTCAAGAACTTATATGTTATGGATCTGGAGTTCAATGGTGGGGCGCCACGTGTACGCCTCACCGTTTTTAAAACTGTCAAATACTAGTGTATTGCGGTGGGGCCCACTTGACTTTCAGATATAATATTTCCTCTATGCTATGTTTGTTAGACATAGTATTGCTTCAAGGACTAGCGTAAATAGTATGCATATGTCAAAGTATAATATAAATATTATTTTAACATTACGTTAGAAATAAACTAATATTATATGACATAATAATTTGTTATTTTATTAAGAATATTTTATAGCATTTCATTTGCATCTTATATCTCTACTTTTATATATACCTCTACTTGTTCATATTTTCACTCATCGCTTATATCACAAATGAACACAAATTTCATTTGTACATTCGTATGTTTATATTTATCTAGGTATATCAAACAAACAAATGCATAATTTTATAGGTGCGCAATGCCTTATAACTTCATATAAATACACATTCAATCCAACCATTCAACCATTTGCACTTCCCCTTTTTTTGTCCATTTTTTGTATAAATATTTTTGAAACATAGGTATTAAATTATCATCAATTTCAACATATATAAATAACATCAAATTTGCAATAGAAAGTATAAATATTGCTATCTATAGCTAACATTACAATTTGCAAGATAAATTAATATACACATAATAATAATCATAATTAAAAAAATATTTATATATAATGTTTAAATTAAAAATCTATAATGCTCATAAAACTAAACCTAAAATAAAATTAAAAGTGCTACATAAAATGATCAAAATTAATTATAAATTGAACATAAAACACAACCATAAAAATGTATTAAATACAATAAGTTTAATTTAAATAGGTTAAAACTTTATCCAAATCAAAATTATAAAAAAAAATCACAAATAAACTAGACAAAATTAATTCTAGAAAGTTATGAATAATTATCAATCCCAGAAACCAAGTCATTACAAATTCACCCATATATTGTAAGAGCAGTTGTTACAATTACTCCAAAATGAAAAATTCATAATTAACGGCTACTTTATTAATTACTTGATAATCAACATACATCATCTATGATCTATCTGTTTTAAAGGGTTGATAATGTTGAAATTATAAAAGGACTAAGATTCATGTGAGAAGAAATGAGTTGATCAAATAGGTTGAGCCAGTAGATGAACCGGATCTAACAATTTTATCCTGTGAGAAGAACCGGAAGATTTTAATGCTTTTCATCTTTAAACAGGAGCAATTTTTTCTGTTGATAAAGAGTAATAAAGGAAACTTTTTATTTAAGGATTTACTAACTTAATATCATTTTTTTTTTAAATTTATTGACGAATTGGCAATTATTGTCAGTACAATCAATCTTGACAATCAAGCCATTAAAAATGTTCAAATATTCAACTAAATGGGCAATATATTGCTTTAATCATGGTCCCTAAGTATTTGATTTTGACATCTCTTTCATCTCAAATGAGATAAAAGTAGTCCCTCTTAACCTTCATTCATTAAGTTATTGCTCCAACAAATGTTGGCAAGTAGATTCAATTTGATTTTGACAAAGGCAACTTTCTCATAATCATTCAATCAAAAAGTTCATCTGATAATATGTTAGGGGGCATGAGTGCCTTTATAAGTAGGAGCTCAACTTTAACTCTCATTAAAGGGTTATCTCTCATAATCATTCAATCAAAAAGCTCATCTGATAATATGTTAGGGGTCATGAGTGCCTTTATCTGTAGGAGCTCAACTTTAACTCTCATTAAAGGGTTATTTAAGTCATCAATATTCCTATAATAAAAGTCTCAACCATCTTGATTCCTCGAGTTTGATTTATCTTCTATAAGGTTGGTTTTTTGCTTAAGTCTAAATAAGATTCATCATCTTCTAAATGTGTATTATAATTTTATTGGATCTCCAAACTATTGATGTAACACAAATCTATTATAAAAGCTATTGAATAACCCAAGCTTTTGAAGGTATAAAAAAATTTCAAGGGTTGTCCAAATGTTCTAACCAAATCTTTTCCTTCACTGATTTATTCTAATATCAAATATGGTATGATTAAAGTTATGAATTTAAGTGTGTTGTGGAGTTTATGGAGATATATAGAGAGTTGCAGGATTGTAGAGGTTCAAACAGTCCAAATTACTGTTAAGGCTGAGTTAAAAAATCCACCAAGGAATGTATTTTAAGTGCGATAAATAGCTAAAAATGACTGTTATGACTAAGTTAAAAAAAATCACTAAGGAATGTATTTTAAGTGCGATAAATAGCTAAAAAAAACAATGAAATGTTAACTTTGGATATGTACTTGTAATCTGTAATAGAAAATTGAGTTATACATGTATGAATATTACAGGGGCACATTCAATACATGGCCATGTGGGGAACCACATACTCGCCTTTCAGTGCAGCCCCATATATAGTTATTACAATCATTATGACCTCTATGGATCCAATGAAACAAATTCAATTAAGCATTCAATACAGAGAGGAACAGCTTGCCCCACATATACAGATTATAATCAATATTACCTCATTGATCCAATGAAAATGACACCAACCCAACATTTTGATTCCTTCAATTCAATGTTCTTGATTTCTGCACCATCAGTGTAATGTTTAGCTGATGTTATGCTAAAAAGTTTAAAATCATTGCTTTGTGAAGAAAAAGATGAAAAGATAAATGGGATAATTACATACCCGAAACATTTATTTACAAAGTAACTAGCCATGTGATTTTTTTACGCGTGCCACAATCAAACTATGGTGAATTTGATAAAAATGAAAAATATGGGCTGGATCTTTACAATGAATTATGATATATGAGTGAGAATTGGAAAAATGAGTTAAAGAATGTGGTTGATTTGTAAATAGCAAGTTTCAGGTAATCTGTATGTAATTGCCTACATGTGTGCGCGCGGGCGTGAGTGTGTGTGTGTGAGAGAGAGAGAGAGAGAACATTTGTGGACATCTGCCTCTGCCATTTCTTATCCTTTGTTTCTCTTTTTATCTTTGCACAAAAATAAATTAGTGGAACACTTACCGAATTTTTTTCCCCTACTACAACAAGCCTTCTCCCTTTGTACTACCAGTCGATCCTCTCCGACCCACTGTTGTATTCTTCAGTATCTAAAAAGCAGCAAAAACAAGATTTAGTTTCAGGGAAGTCTTTTTCCAAGCAAATAAATAAGTACAGATTCATTACCCAAACTGAATCCAGCTACAATATAGTTTTCTATGCAATTGAACAAATGAAATAATACAATTATATTGTAGAGGAGACTTATTTTTTACAAACAATTAAATAGTCGGACAACCTTTGCATAAGAGATTGAAATAGATGTATAAAAGTCAAGCTGAGCTCGAGCCACCCTCTGCTTGAGTTTGAGCTTGATTGATGTTATTGAGTTCGAGCTCAAGCTCAAGCTTAAGTTTACAAGTTAGAGCTGGCGCATGTGCCGGCTTGTTTATTATAATAGAGAGAGAATAATGTTAATTTAAGCTAGTGTTATAATAAAATGATAAGAAATTGCTTAATATATATAAAAAATATTATTTTTTAAAATATTTTTATATTTTTAAAGATAAAATTTTCAAATTTAATATATTTTAAG